AACAACGTCACAGCCAACAACGGACTCAGCAACGGAGGCGACAATGGAGACGGAGATGGAAATGATGATGGAAATGATGAGGGATCCGATGGTACAGAGGATGGCAAGGAGCCCGAGCTCAACAAGGACGGCCAGAATTGGCAGTAACTTGGCTGTATATTACTTCTAAACCAATCTTTGTGCTCTAGTCGGCTTTGAAAGCCTCTGCAACTCCGAAACCAAGTCTCAACATGTAAACATTAATCATAATAGGCATGACCTCTATATCCCGTGTACGCTTTGCCAACCCATTCAGGGATATCAAGACCAAAAGCAAATTCAGCCACCAATTTTCTACTCTGTTTCTACTCCCTCTCTACGTCCCGTAGTATGGCTTGAGTCCAGCTGGCCATTGCGTCCCCTGCGGTTCTGTTGGCATTCTATATTCCACTTCGGTTTCACTACCCTCGTCAGAGGGTGTTGGCGTTGGTACGCCGCTGTAGCGTGCGCTGAATCGCTGATCCACCAACTTGCTGATGCGGTTTTCCTTGAGGGTGTGCTCGGTGTCAAGGGCCTTGTTCATATCATAATGCTTGATCAACAAGCTGACTAGGAAAGCGACGCTGCTGATGCTGACATAGAGCAGAAAGACGCCGCGGAAACCGTACACATACGAATCAAGGATCTTCGCCTTCTCCGGGTCGTCAGCTGGCATTGCCAACAATTGTGGAAGGAAGGCCTCCGAGTCCTTCGCGATTGAGGCCGGCAAATTCTGCCACTTCAGCTTGAGTGCCATGACATTCTGAAAGGTTGATCCGCCAACGCCGACACCCAGCGCCGTTCCAAAGTGTCTCATGAAGCCGTACATGCCCGCAGCTGCCGCTTCCTCGCCGTCGCCGCAGACTGCCTGCGAAGCGAAGTTCTGCGCGTTCAGGATGCTGCCGTGGCCGAAGCCGATGAGGATCAAGGCGATCGCCCACACAGCGATACTGGTATTGGCATTGAAGGAGATCGTCACGCCAATGCCAGCCGTCAGAATGAGCCATCCAGCCCAGATAGGCCAGCGGAAGTTATTGAGACGAGAAACGAGGATGCCGGTGATGATCGATCCTGGCACCAATGTAGTGCACACAGGCAGTAGAGCGACGCCGGTCCGCACGGGAGAGTAGGCCAAGACGGACATGAAGTAGAAGGGGATGTAGTACAACTGTCCAAAGATCAAGAGACCTTGAGCGGCGCCACAGAAGTAGATCACGACGGCGCTGACACTGCTGAACAGAGTGTGGCGGAGGAACGGCTCTTGAGCAACGTATCGCTCCCAAGCATAGGTCATGCCAAGTCCGATGGCCCCGATAATGAGAGGTGCCAGTGTCTGCGCGCTGGTCCATGAGAACTGTGTACCGCCCCATGAGATTGCGATGAGGAATGAGGTAGCGGATGAGATGAAAATGAAGCCTCCGATCCAGTCCACGCGAGCCAGCTTCTCGCCGATCGTCTCGGTTCGAGGCTTGATGGTAAGGAATAGAGGCACACTGATGAGACCGAAGACGCAGAAGGGAAACATGATGTAAAATACCCATCTCCATGTGGTGTTCTGAGCAATGGCACCGCCCACGACCGGCCCAATACAGTTTCCGAGAGCCCAGGCTCCTTGACTGGGATACAGAATCAGTGAAAGTCGTTTGGATTATGTAAAATGTTATTGCACTTACACTGTACCATACCATTTCGGCCGGAACCTCAGCGGTACGATGTCTGTGAAGATGATAAGGGAGACGATAATGATTCCTCCACCACCTAAACCTTGAACGGAACGGCCACCTAGCAGCATGCCGATAGTTCCTGATGCTGCGCAGATCGAGGTGCCGAAAGTGAACATGAGAACAGAGAAAATGAGAACCACCGGACGACCGAAGATATCGCTAATGGCGGCAAGGAAAGGCATAGAGACGCCATGTGCGAGGAGATAGGCAGTGCCAACCCAGAAGCCCTGAGTGGCATCTCCCCCGAGATCTGTTACGATGGCCTGCAATGACAAGTCAGTATCTATGGCACCGCAACCTTCACAAGGGTTTCCATACACTAAGAGAAGTCACAATAACGCAAGCATCAAGCGCCACCATGAAAGAGATGACAGAGAGCGTGATCATAATCATGACTTCGTGGGTGGTGGGCTTCCACTCCGGCGTTTTCCGAACCAGAGATTCGTCAACCATTGTGTAGGTGACTGTTGCGGGCTCTTGCTTCCCTGAGCCACGAGAGTCTCTTTTGAGAAATCCCATTTGGCAAAGTGTAGCTGGAGCTGAGCGCTGTCAGAGCAGGAAATCATGGGGAACAATGCGACGTCCTCGGTGAGACGATACTGCTATAGTTGGTATTTGTTGTTAATATTGAAGCTTGGGAGTTGTTCGTAAGCGTAGTAAGATCGAGTTTTATGGAAGAATGATTTGTGTTTATGAAGTGTTGATGATCGGATAGTTGATGTCCTGAATGGATGATAGTCGAGAAGGATCAGAGTGAAACTGGAAGGATGGGGGCCGTATCTTATATCCAAAACCTGCTTCAGGAACATGCGAGTCCAGACTATATCATAATCCAAGCCCAGACGACCCTGAGCCAGCTCACAATGTTAGTCTGTGCTTGCATTTGCGTGTAGACGGGCATCTTGCTCCACACCTCAGTGCGGAGCCCGATGTGACAAGGAGGCTGAGAGGCACAGCACGGGAATTCCAAACCGCTGGATTTGGAAGTGAAGCCGAACTGGGTGTAAGCTGTGGCCGAAGACAAGGGCAACTTGGACGAAGCGAGCCCGACCAAGGGCAAGTGGTGACGCCAGTCGTGGCATGTGTTAGAGCGGGCTGTGTTGACAAGCTGATTCGCCCTCGGCCGATTGCAGCGCCAAATAGGGCTAAATACTACATAGTCGCGGATCTTCCGAGACTCGGGCATCCACCCACACGACTTGTAGACAGAAGTACTCTACTGCACTTGTAGTCCTCTAGTCAAGTCAGAGAGCCTTAGGCGTGGATCGTGCGTGCCGCTGGGTTGCACGAAACGGTCCTTGGGTGAGATGGGACGAGCTCGAACACCATCTCGGTTTAGCGAGATGCTCGAAAGGACCTATTGGGAATGATGGCATTCATTAGTCACTAATAAATTGTGCTAGTTACATGTGTAGACTAGTAGTAAGGGCCAGTTCTGTTGCTCAGCCCAGCCCGCCTCGTCTATGAATGACTATGAGACTGTCGTCGCAAGCGAAAGCTCTTGTTGCAGTTCTACTCTAGCAAGAAAGGGTCTTTGCTAGGGCTACAGTAATATCGGTGATTTCAGCTGACAGGCGATCGCTGGCTGGGCGCCAATCGTCGTATGGTGGTCCTTGTTGCAGTTCCACAAGGTGCCCCTTGGTGCCGTAACTCATTGTTGCCCAGCTCCTGAATAAGGGCATTTTAACGAGTGCGCGCCGCGCGCGGGCCGGCTGCAGCGTTTCGAGAGCGAGTCCGTCAGCTCCGCCGCTCACCGTCGATGAAAATCATACTTTTAAATTCTTATGTCAGAACGGTGTTGCGCATACTCCGTGGATACCCTTTCCTGAGCGGGCAAGTGGTCCAAAATAGAAGCATTGGTCATCTTACATGACATCAAGTAAGTGCAAGTCTAAGATGTGCCGAGGTGAAAAAGTCGCTCGCCGCTTGACACTTTGGCAGTTCGTGTTCGTTCATTGAGGATTGATCACTACCCGCGCGCCTGTCTTTCAACCACTCAAAAAGCCTATGCAAATCTCACGATGCTGCCAAAGCGAGACGGCTACTAGAATTCCGCTTACGGTAAAGGGTTGAGCAGCAGCCTCGCAGGTCCCGAAAAAGTGATGGTATTCGCGAGATACCGTTTCGAATAGCCGTCTTCTCAGCATGAGTTGGAATCGGTGCCACCGGCGCTATCGTGGCTTCTGCAGGCGCCATGCGCGCCATGTTTTTGCTGCGCTTCGGCTCTAGCGAGCATCGTGGCTTTACGCCAAAAGCTTGACTTCAGCCGGTAGGGCTTGAAGGCCTCCTGTCTTTAGCCATTTGAAGATGGTCTGGTCCCTGAACCGTACGATACCGGCAATACGGCATCGAGCCGAATCGCTTCCTGGACTGGCGCCGGCAGTAAAGTGACAGGCTGGGCTGAAACAATCTTCCAAGTCCAGTACTCTTCAAGTCGATAGAAGCATTCGCGACACACGCGTCTCTCTGTCTAGTACTTCTCTCAGCTGCAGGCTTTGGCACTCGCTATCCCTGTTCAGACAATGGCCAGTTTCACTGATGAGTGGACAACCAATTGTGCGTCTCCTCATTCGTCGTAGCCCAAGCTCGAACGGCTGGCCAGAACATCGTTCGGCATGGAGCGAGCCACGTCAAAGCCATGTGGCGCCCTGTAGCGCCATCCCGATAGGACCCTTCCATCCCTTTCAGCATCTTTCGGAAAAGCCACGATATCTCCACAAGGCTCGCTAGATGGTATCAATAGTGTTTATACACGGCGACTACGAAGAAGCAGAAGACGACAGCAATGGCTTTTGCAATGCTTTACAAGCTGTAATGTAGGTGGAGCCAAATGGTCTCTGTAATGGTCACTAAAAGGGCTGCACGCTGTAGCCAATGGCATGCAAAATGTTGCGAGTAATACTTGGCCGGATTTATCTGGGCCTACCCAATTCTGGCAGAAGAGATATCTAAACCAGCCAGGGCCACCCCTGTTCAGCGTGCTGGTGAGTTCTATCCCGGAGCCAAGCCTCTCATAGGGCTCGTCCCGACAACGCGGATATCCGCTGAGCAGGGATTATCAAAGACATTCAGCACGAACCTTGCAGAAACCCATTCGCGGCGGTTTTCAGTGTTATCTTTCTCCCTCTCGCCGTTTCTTACGCGAGCATCATCGAATCTCACGACACACCTCCGTGACCAGTGCAAGATGACGTTGTTATTCATTTTGCATTCGTGAACGGATAACTTTTTCCCAGACTGTGCCTCTCGGTCTCGGATTTTGTGTTATGAGGGCAAAATGAACGCGGCACAGCAGTTTGGCCCCCAATGGGTTCTCATATCCCTTCTTCACCGTTTTCCTGCCCAAGTGTCGATGACAACACACCGACCCACTCACGATCCTTCGGCACCGCGGCCAACTCGTTTGGTTATCCCAAAAAGGATGGACCACAGGCGTCAAGTCTGATTACCTGACCAGACTCTTGCTTACGGAACAGCTCTGGCGCTAGAGAGTGGCTGTACGTTTGAGGCTCCGGACCATTGATTTTAGATCCTGCCTGTGTCGATCTTTTAACATCTGACCGCCGATGTCATTTCTATGCGGCTCAGGGCTCGGCACTTTCCCCCGGTGCCTGTAGCCCTACGAAGGATGCTCGATCGCTACACAGGGGCTTGCTTCAATGGCCAAGGGCCAAGCAATCCTTCGCATTGGGTTGCTCATGACACGCAGTTCGATGATCCCTTAACTCCATGTTTTCCGAAGAAACCACAATACCGCGCCAGGCACAGAAATGCGGAGTTTTTAAAGCCAGCTTTGTTCCGAAGTGGGACTATCTGACAGACATTTGCAGGTAAGCTGCGACAAGAGATGAATCGTTCGAGTTACTGCACTCGGCCTCCTCTGCTTTGGTATAAAGCCACTCTGTTGTACATGTACTATTATTTTCGCCTTGATATGAGGTCAAACATACGTTTCAATATTTCCCTTATAACTCTGATACAACTAGTAGTGACCCATGTAGGGCTCACCCAGCACTCACTCGGAGAAGACCATATTTCCTTAGCCTATTTTCCTTTCTGATATTTCTTGAGGACATCCTCAACATCGTCTAGCCCGGTGAACTTCTTGATGATCGCATCAAATAGGCCATGGGGGAATATCGCTGTGACTCTCGATAGCAATGCTTGCTCTCCCCTCCAAATCACTGACGATGGATTCTTCTTCAATAGAGCCTGCACCGTGGCCTCGGCCCATGGAATGAGCTCCACACCCTGTGTTTCGAACCCCTCTTGTCGCATTACATTCTCCAACACTTCTTTTGCAGGCTCATAGATGGACCCCTCGGGCAACGAAGGCTGCTTCACATCTTGCAGGTTCTTGATCAAGTTGGTCTTCACGATCCCTGTCCGTAGGTCGATGACTTTGATACCAAAGGGCTGGAGCTCTAGCCTCATCGAATCCGTAATCATTGCCATTGCGGCCTTGGACGAGTTGTACACTGCTTGAAATGGCAGCGTTGTGACGGCTCCAATCGACGTTTGGTTCACGATCATGCCTTTAGATTTTAGTAGCAATGGCAGAAACGCCTGTACCACTGCCACATAGGCCCATACGTTCAAATCGTACAGTTTTCTAGCTTCGGCAATGTTAATGTCCACTACGGGCATGAGAAACTGTGCGCCAGCATTGTTGACGAGAATGTCAAGTGTGGGCACCTTGCTGACGCACGCTGTTATCGAAGCCTCTGACTCAACGTCCATCGCGAGGGTCTCGATGCCCATGGATGCTAGTTGTTCCATCTTCGCCGGGTTTCGAGCTGTTGCGTAGACGTGTAGACCCGCTTTGTGGAAAGCCGCTGCTAACGCTGCACCCATGCCGCCATCTGAGCAGCCTGTTATGAGAACTGTGCGCTTTGTTTCAGACATCTTTGAATGAGTGTCGAGAGGGTAGCTAATTGTTATGATCGAGCATAGAAATGATTGATGGTGGAGGGAAAGATCGGGGACTATGACCCGATCGAGATGCCAGCCTCGCTCAGTCAATATGACGTCTAATTGACGAAACACAATACAATGAGATTTTCGCAATTCAAGGCTGAGTTTATAGAGGTTTAGTTCATATCACAACTAGCTGAGCAGCGTACAATACTCATCTGAATCAGCATCCTTCATATTGTACGTGCGGTTCGGTGGAAATTTCCTCCGCGGCACAGCAAATTGGCCCTTTTGACTCCGGTGGAGGAACGTTCAACACTTAATTATGTAACCTAGAGATCCAAGACAACGACACCAAGCTCAATGCAGCCATAACTCGTTTCAAAGGAACAATTTCATTTCGGCGACAGATTTTGGGGAAAGTTTGTTTCAAGAGAAAGTCAAGGAAGAAGCTATTCAGGTCATGACCAAGCTTCTTTCGGACCTGCCTTAGCGCAGCAGAGTCATTAACTAGATTCAAAAACCTTGCTCACCGCATCTCCACGAGAACCAGTTGTCATATCGATATTCAGTATATCCTCAAAGACTCAAAACCTGCGGGCACACGACATCGACACGGCATCTCAAAACATGATTGCAACGCCTCTCCGTTAGCTCGCCGTGTACGTGAAGCTTACACTCCAAATGCATGGCCGTGGAGTTTGTATACCATATTGCCTTTATCATGCCATGGCTGCGGAGGCCGCAACTCCTCTCAGCGTCTCGTTAACCTTTTTATAAGTTTAGAGTACCCCCTATCTACTAAGCTGCAATGTACAAGATGCAATGCTGCAACATCATCATCATCATTAAAGTCTTCACAAAATTTGACTTAGGGCAGGTAAGCAGTCCAAGACTACTACAAAGTCCCTGCAACTATTTTGGATTAGGATCAAAGGGGAGACTAATTTCGGAGACCACATACCATTCAAACTGATAGCCGGGTGACATCTACTGGAAGATGAGCAAAATAACGTTTCAATATATCCTCGACAATGTTTTCGTCGAGTACCGCACCGAATCTGTTGACACTCTGGTTAGCAATGCACTCACGAAATCGGATCGACATGAGATATAGAAACACCAACCCTAGGCAGACAACGTGTTCTTTCAACTCCACCGTTAGATTATCCAACGCTTGCTGGCCACCGGAGATATTTAGCCCTCGTATACGATTCCATATCTGAACTGGAGTGACCTCAGGAGGTGGTAATCCAAGGTTCATACTACTGCGTAGTAATCTCTCGAGCTCACTGCTTGATATATCATACGTGGCGGTTGTCGTCAAGTTGGAAGTATGGTGTTGCCAAAGTGTGAGACAAGCTGTAGACATATGGCCGGAAAAGTCGCTATCATTGTTATTAGAGTGCACGTGGTCGAGATGTTTGCCTCTCAGATGGTCCATGCAATCTGCTTCCAACCTTCGAAAAAAATCGTGGTTAGCTTATTGGCTCTCCGGAGTTAACACCCTTGTATATCTTACCCAAGGACAAATTTGATCCCATGTCTCGGGTCTGCCAAAAGGGTCTTTGGGCTGCTCGGAGTGGGAGCTGTCTCAGGCACAGCATGAAATCTTTGAGGCGTTGCAGGTATCTCAATATCAGACCCTAAAGGGTGATATGTTCCCGTACTTGCGGAGGTAGTCGCCGGCGACACAATACCAGAACCTTCGGGGAATTCAACGTTTACGTAGACACCACGAGCACCTTCTATGATTGAAGTGACATGACCATATGAATTCTTTTCGTCGAAGTGCTCATCTGAAACAGTGGGGGACGAGATACTTTTTTGTCCCCTGTCGTGGACCAGACGATCAAGTTGCTGTTGTAATGACTGGGCTCTCTCTATGGCCTCTCGTTCGCTTTCTCGTAATCTAAGCACCTCCTTTTCTAACATTTTAATATACATTTGTGTACGCTGTCGATGCGTCCTATGATGGTGTGAGATGGCTGGTGGCTGGGGTCGAGGTAGGTGAAGAAACTCACCGTTGGGCTTGTAGAACCTGGGAGCGCCGCTTATCCTGGCCGACCCCGGTCGGCTGGCTCCTTCCTTGAGCCGTGCATGCTACTATTTGATTAGCAGGGGCTCGCGCCGTGGTATTGCTTCGATGGCACGGGTGCGAAAAGAGCGGAGAGACCAACCACTGCCTTCATCTGTCTTGGGTAGAACCTCTTGGCCTAGTATCTGCTTCGATCGCTTTGATATCAGATCATACTCGCGGCCTTCTCCCATAGTGCCAGAGGATTCAATCTATGTATAGAAAGGTCGCAGTCGTATGTACGTATGTATGTAGTTGGGTGCAATTTCAAGAGACTAAGGGACAATCTCAAAGCGCTTTGGGAGGAGCCGCTACTGGAGGTTTCGGCAAAGGCCGTTGATTAGAGATAAAATCACGTCATTACTCAGCTAAAGTTCGAACAGCATACTTGGAGTGGGCTTAGTGCTCGCAAGATGGAGGCATCGCAAGCCACAAAAAATGCCGCCCTGGCCCGGCAGTGACTGATAATGACTGGTGGCGTTAAGAAGGGTTGGTGCCAAGCTCCATCCTATAACCACTCTGCAGAAGACGAGAGTTCTGATGAGTCTCTAGCGACAACGAGGACAATGTTGCAGCTTCAAAGGCTCAATTGCGTCACCGAGGAATTCCACAAAACTCCACAAGACCCACCCGACAGCTTTGTGTTAGCGTTGAGATTCCTAATCCTTAACAGCACGCGGTCCTACAAGAGATGTAGCATACAGGAGAATTGCGAATTAGTCTATCGTTTCTTCTGCCGAGATGATTGTCATGCATGACTACACGTGGAAATAATGCGATGGGTGTAAAGTTAATGTCCCGGGATCCATATTACTGTGGATTAGTCCATACATCCAGGCACGCACCATGCATTGTTAATCGGATTACACTCTGAAGAGTGGTCCAGGATCCAATGTTCGATCCATTCAATGCCGAGTAGTTTTTCTTGATTCCAAGGCTATGGAGGGTGTCATGTCAGAATGCATGGGTTGCGGCATACCATGGAGAGAAGGAGACAGAGACTGGTCCCGAGGTGCCATGAGAGGCCGGATCTGCTGAAGCGTGATGCTTGTCTTGGTGAGTCTGGGTAGGAAGAGACAAAGACTCTGATTTCTTGAAAAATGGTCTGATGCAGAATCAAATTAGTGATTGGTATTTTGACCCTGGGCTTAGATGCTAACAATAGTGATTTCCAATTCCACTCTGGGTTTCCTAGCTTCTCCCAAGCATCGAAATCCTCTTTCGCTCCACGGTTCCAGACGAGAAAGTTCAGCGCGCTGGTACCACCCAGTACTTTACCTCTGGGCCACGGTAATGCTCTGCCTTCTAAACCACCTTGAGGCGTGGTCTCAAATTTCTAGTCAAAATCGTCATTTTCTACTAGTGACCTAAAATGTCTAGGAATATCAATCAGTGGATAATCGTCGTGGTGATACCCTGCTTCTAACACGCCAACATTGACTCCATCATCTTCTGCAAGCCGAGAAGCAAGAGCAATGCCGGCAGTGCCTCCGCCAATTATAATATAGTCATAAGATCTTGCGTTAAAGATATGACCCTCTCGTGTTATGAGATGTGGCATGATTGCTGTTGATTGAAGGGCCCTGACAACTCTTGTGTCAGGTCGACGAGTCAAGTGAAATAACACATTTGGTGCGCTGGTAGGCCGGACAAGTTTGTGTTGGTACGGAGAGAGTTGCCGTCTTGTCTTCGTGGCGGAGAAGTTCATTGCAGTACTGAAAGCAGTATATGAAGCGAATTATGCAGATGTTTCAGTGCAACAGCCCGTAGCGCAGGGATCTTCCGCTGATCGGATAGATTCGCTTTTGACGAAGGAGGAAAGATCCTTTTCGGTGGGAAACGAGACAAACAGAACCCTCGTCGCATCCAGCCTACAATACTCACGAATATCGAAAGCACTGTGTTGTATAAGACAGAGACTTTTGCGCCATTTCTCTCGGTGACTGTTGACGACACAGTGGAAGATGCTTTTCGAGTCGCCAACGACGGTGACTATGGACTGTCATCTGCAATATGGTCACGCGACTATCATAAGGCATTGAAACTGGCTCACAAGATCAATGCAGGGTGCGTAACTCTACTGCTTGGCGTAATTCGGTGTTAACATTAACAAACTTGTGACAGACATGTTCATATCAATGACTCGACTATTTACGATGAGTTCACGTTGCCATATGGGGGAATTAGGACAAATGGAATTGGTAGATTTGGAGGTAGTTGGGGTATTGACGAGTTTCTAACAGTGAAGACTGTTACGTTTCCCTTGTAAAGTATGAATAGAGCAGTGCATCGTTAATCATGATACACACTTATAGACGTAGCTTCTGTTGGCATATCTATGATTGTAGAACTTTTGCTTTGATGTAATCAACATGGATGACAAGTCAAATACTAAGTTCCCATGAACGTCAGCCGCTGTTGGCATGATTAGTCGCACGTTAGACATATGGAATGGGAGACCATAAGCAAGCATCTAGTTCACAGCTGTAGGCGCTCTCCAATATCTAGGCCATATAGTAGATCATGTTTGCCCAACCATTTCTCTGCGGAGAATGTCTTCCGTATTTGTACGAGGAGCTGTTCATGAAGCACAACATGGAAGCTCACGACGTCCCCGTCGTCGAGCCGACATCCGACTGCCAGGTTGTCCTAACCTTGGACAGAATACGACAACATGGCCATCTTCTGCCCGAACTTGTGTTAGAACTGCACCACACGGGGATATTAGATATGCACAGAGAGTGGAGAAGAATGTGTGTATACGGTTGCATCTGGACTCAACGATCCAGGAGGATCGTTGTGCGACTATGTGACGGAGTTGGGCTTCGTTGATTTGATGGTAGGAAACAAGAGCATATCACGATATCTTCGTGACGATGGCGGGCCGGATGGAAAGGGAGTCGAACCGTTGGCGACTATGCGAGACATGAATATAAACTGCCTGCCTTAGATCATGTATAAAGGGAGTCGCCGCACTCCCAGAAAACCAAATTCGGTTAAGAGACGTGAGTAAAGCCAGACTCAATTGACCAGTCTTGTCCTGACCTCCACCATTTTTACATACTGAGATCGCAATATCCTCACATCAACATGAAGCCCTTTGCTGCTATCTCCGCCGTGGTCTACCTGGCAGCCATCGCACAGGGAGCTAATGTCAAAATCTGCAAGCAGCCCAATCTGAAGGACTGCAAGACGGTCACTGTGCATGACAACGCATGCTGTGAGTTGTCGTCTGCTGAGATTCCATCTTGAGGATCGTTCCCTCACACTAGACTCTTAAGTCAATTTTCCAGATGGTTTCAACGAGAAAGTCAGCTCCTTGGATACAAATGGCGCCCAATGCACGTTTTGGACGTAAGTCTCTTCTTTCTGACACGATAGTACTTTTTGAGGGCAATGTGTTGACCGATTACTCGGGGACCTTAGTAAGAAACAATGTGACGGACAGTCTTGGAAGGCTCGGGGGAAGCATGAGACCATCCCGGGAGACTTCAACAACAAACTCAGCTCCGTCAAGTGCCATTAATCATCAATGGGGGTGTTGGCTCCTGGAACAAAGTGTCCACATGGAGAAACGCGAGAAGACTGAAAAGGAACCGAGATATTTTGGTCCGCACTGACGCCGGCCGTCGGAGCAGAGGGAGAACGCGGTGACCGGACACTCTTTTTGAGATACAAAACTTTCTTTAAGAAGTAGTACTACTTTTATTTCGCGTTCTGACCTATTCTGTTCCCCCGAAGCGGCGAGTTCTCGGTGACGTTTTTAATGCTTACCTTGTGAAACACTCGGCGCGCCGATATCGTCCGTTCCAAGGCAGGAGGTGTTACGTATAGAAAATAGAGGACTCAATGCAGCACCGTGTGGCGCAGATCTGGTATTCGGATTGCCGGAGCTTGATCTGGCCATCTCAATAAGCCAGCGACATGTGCTGTCACGCGCAGGAGACTTAACATGGGTGTTGAGCGTGGCGTGCAAGGAATTGGGCATGGGATGCGGGCAGAGCGGGAGCGGGATTGCGTACTGGGGGTGGACGCCTGGCGAAGTACCGTACCGGGCCTAACTGAACCTGTCCAGCAGCTGCTGTCAGTTGATCACGCATCGCGCCTTCCAGAGCAGCAACGTCAGAGAGTCGCTGCCTCTCTCGCCGACTTCCTGTTTGGGCCAAATGTGTGCAGTGCATTGATATAAGGAAGGTACATGCAAATGGGCAACATAATCACTCGTAGAGGAGAGAAAGAATGGGCAAAAAGACACTGCTAGATGTCGCTTCTACTTGTTGAATCTCTAAGTCGATCCGTAGCTGGGGCTTTGATCGTTGTTTAGACGCTCCGTTATTCATGCTGGCATTTCCGTCCTTGGTCTCCTGCCATAGGCATGAGTGACGACGAGTCATCTTCGGTATCTGCCTTTATATAGAGGTAGGCATTGAGCCGCATCTCTTCCCGAGGATCCACGAGCACCTTTTTGCTAACCACCTCGTAGAAACGCACAGAGCCGCGTCAAGAAAAAGCAAGGTCACGCCTACCACGAGAAATAGCGGGCCAGTACACCCTGGCAAGTCTAGACCTGCATCTTGAGAGGTTCGCGGAAGCCGGCATCTGCACGCACGACGCACATACGCTTCGTAGAGACCGATCCACGCAGTACGGAACCAGCAAGTCCACACTGCAAGTTGCTCGGCAGCCAGGAAGCTTCAAGTAAGTGCCAAAGAACCCCGCGCCTGTCCCCCATCGTCAAGCAGACATAGGCTAGGCGATTGGCTGATTTAGCAGAGCTAAGCGTCGGGTGCATGTAGTCGTAGGACCCTTTGTCTCGATCAATCATTGACGGGTAGACCTCTGACCGGGGGTTTTGCCGTCCTGTTGGATTTAGACCCGACTCTGATTCCAATTCAAAGCTCCAAGCCTCCGGGTCTCGAGGCGTGCTCATAAGGACCTTGCGGCTTACGATACAGAACTTCAAGAGGTATGTAAGATCGCTGCATTGTCATCGCCGACCTGAGGTCCCCTGCCCGCTCCCGCTGTTGCTTTTGCGACACCAGCCCGGATCTGGTAGGCTGCTCCCACTTTGGATTGTGCGCAGGCTATCGATTCATTCACTGGCCCGGCAAGGCTGGGCTGGCTGGGCTGGGACATGGGATATGGGATGCAATGCAACACTCGCATCCCCAACACAAATTCGCATCTTCAACCTGCGGCATTGCATGAAAATAGACACTGACGCTGACTGACGTCTACCTGAAGTGTTGCGAGTGCAGGCTCTTTACCTAACCGATACATCTACCCGCCATTTACCTGACTAAGGTATGTGTTGTTGGGTGAGGTGAACCCAAGGCAACAAGCTCACTGACGTTGCGCCCGTGTTATTGTGGACTGTGGTGGCTACCTACTGCGTAGCAGTTGCTAACCTGGTCACAGGCAATCTTAGCGACCAGGTCACATTCGCTTCCTAGATCCTATGCCGGCCGCCAGCACGCACGCACAGCGATCCTAAAAGAAAGCAACATCTCCACGACACCTCCAAAATCCGTTACCGGCGCGCTCATAAGTGTCAATCTATTCTCTCGTGCTCTTATTTACGGAAAGACGGCTGCCGGCGCCAATTCGTGCATCGTTGGTCCTCGTCCTTTGTCCAGCTCCGGCCTATTAGTCCCTGAGTAAGACTGGACGCGCCCTCCCGACGGCCGAGTGTGACAGCTCCGGAAAAGCTGAGCTCCAGTCTCCAGAGCAGCTCCAGTAAAGCCACCTCTTCTGCGACACCCGCCAGCCTTCCGTTCCCATTACAAAGCTTTTCGTCGCCTTCGCTGGGAGGCGAAATGTCAGAGAGCTGTGCTGTAGCATCAAAGGGCGTCTCAATTACGATTTTACCATTGTCCTAGACGACTTTCCCCCTCTTTCTTGATCTTCCCACCTCGTCCAACCGCGAGAGTTACGGTCGTGCGACCCTTCCAGCGGCTCTGCTCGACTCCGCACACCTCCGCCACCACACCACCTTGCCCGATCTCGAATCGCCGACGAGCTCGCGGAGAAATGGATGAAATCAACGGTAGCCACCAGGCTTCATCCGCCGGCTTGTCCGCCACGGCTGCCGCCGAAGCGGCGCATTTCCTGATTGGCAATATTCCTTCTGTCGAGACGATTTCGAGAGCGACGTCTCCCGGCTTACCATTCAACGCCGGCCCCGAAGAAGACGACAAGAAGCGTTACCGACCGAGAACATTTAGCTACTTCCGCCTCCTACCATTCGATGTCGAAGATGGCGCCCAGCGCGATGCCGCCTTGGCTGGTATTCTCAAGAACCTCTACATCGCTGTGAAGGCCGAAGACTTCGCCCCCGGAGCGCTACACTGGACACGAGAGCTACAAGGATGGTTGAATCTCAAGTTCGAGATGACCCGCGAACTCCGCGCGAGGCTTGCAAAGCTATACTACCACCTTGCATTGGCACCGGGACTGGATAGTAATACTGCGGACCGTTTCACCAGAATGGTCATCACACTAACAAGGTGAGTGCTCTTTGAATGGAAAGATGTATACACGGTTCATCGACGAGCTAATGGAGCATGTCAATCAGGAAAAAGCACTATCTCAAGCCCGGCGAAGATCTAACGTTCGACTGGCGACCGCTGTGGAAGGAGATGAAGGGTCTAGTGTTGCCCTCAGAGACACCCTCACACCAGGGAAGCAGGAGAAGATCTCAGAAGCACTTGCTCAAGCTTTGCTTGCATTCAAACTCGTACTTCGACCCGAAAGACAGACGCGAGATGTTGGAGGAACTGCTCCCATTCTTCAGCACGTCTGACCTCTCAAATGCCTATATCGTAGTTGGAGGTATCGGTGTCTTGGTCCCTACGACTCCTGCCCCCGCTTCGGAGGCACAATCGCAACCTTCAGACTACGTACCGACGTACTTCCACCTGTGGTCTCTCATGTCAAGATCAAAGACTTTTGACATATTCTTCGTCGATATCTTCTCGCGGATGGCTAGAGATTACCTCCACTGCCAGCACGTGCCCTTTACCGAGCATGGCATCTTCACCAAGGAGCAGTCCGACCTCATCTTCACTGCCATCTTGCGCCTAACGGAAATTCCCGTTGGCCAAGCAAACTCTCCATACACGACACTAGACTATTCCTCTGGCCTTGGCGTGTACTTGGAGAAGGATAAGAAGAAATACCCCGTTCCTTACATGATTGCACGGTGGATCATCCATTCCTTGTCTCCAGCATGTCTGGAGCAAGAAAACTCCATTCTGTCCGGCTTGGAGGGTTTGATGGAGTCGGTCGACACATTTTTCCATCCATCCAACCAAGGATCGTGGACAAGTTTCCTGGCACAGTTGACTTTCTTCCTGACTGACATATTTGTGTCTCGGTGGAACCGTGAGCAGAGCGGGGAACTAGACACACCACCAGAACGCAAGATTAACGAAGAGGTCAGGAGGCGGTTCGTCCTTGCCTTGAAGGAGGTCACTTTCATGGGACTTTTCTCGAAGAGCTCCAAGATTGTGAATTACTACTACTCCACTCTACAAGGCTTGGCATACCTCGAGCCTGGCCTGATGCTCCCAGGAGCGCTGCAGAGATTCTATCCTAGTCTGCAAGGACTGGTGGAAGTTCACCGTACAACATCAAGTCTCTGCGGTCTACAGATGATTGCGAACATTATGGCGAAACAAAAGGGTTTCAGGTGCCACATAACAGCGCTGTTAGCTCTGGCCCTGCCTGGTATCGATGCCAATGATTTGGGAAAGACACAGTACACACTCAATTTCATACAGAGTGTCGCCTACAGCATCCCCTTTGCGCCTCTTATCAAAGAGCACAGTGATATTCAGGATACTACACTAGCAATGCAGTGGGTCCAAGGCGAAATGGATCGCATGGAGCGAGAAGGTCAAGATGTCAAGATCAACTACGACGAAGAGCTGACAGATGAAGATGAGGCAAACATTGTCCGATCTTCAACGGCGGGATTTGGAGAATTCATCCTTGCACTGCTGGGAAAGGTCTTCACTCTGCTGGAAAACCTACCTGACGCGTCTCACCTTCGGACGGGTTCTCCCGAAGACAATGTCATCAATACTCTCCCTGCGGCGTTAACACCTCTTTTCGCATCTCTCTCGCCAGACTTGTTCGATATGGCTCTCGATAAGTTGTCAACTTTCGTCAACACTCACGTCGTTCACCAAGCCAGGGATGCCATGGCCTGGATTTGCAATGCACTCTGCAAGGTGAACCCCGAGAAAACGCTGAAAGTTTTCATTCCAATGCTCATCGTAAACATCCGCAACGAGATTGACTACAACGGCGCCGCCTCCGATCGTAGTAGTGGAACGGATGTCTTGCCTCGAGATCGCGCTCTAGTCTGGCATGTGAGCATGCTAAGCATGTGTGTTGTTCATGTCGGCAACGAGGTTCTAAAGTACAAATCAGAGCTGTTTGGCATTGCCCAATACATGCAGGAGAAGTGCCGCGGCCTTCCCACTATTCATATCTCGAATTACATTCACCATTTACTCTTGAATCTAACCCACACATACCCAATTGACAATGCCCTCTATGAGCCAGATGTCATCCAGCGAGGCCTGGACGTCACAGATTGGGGCCGTACTACAGCACCTACAGATCTTTCTATCAAGTGGCACCGCCCGTCTCCTGATGAGATTAAGTTCGCTGTTGAACTATTTGAATCCCAGGCCAATGGTGCATCAAAACGGCTGGAGTTACTCATGAGCGATGAAACACCTGTTAGCCGAAAGGGAAAGAACAAAGAGTGGGGCGATGAAGTGTCAAGGCAGTTGACTCAGATCCGGCTAGTGATTTCAGGTGTCTCGAGTTTGTTCGACCCCAAGAGGGCATCCGGAGAGGCAAATGGCCATGTAAACGGTAACGGCAACATCGACACAGAAGGAGATACTGTGATGGAAGAGGATGACGATCCTCTAGCTGAAGTAGCCGATGATGAAGAGCTGAAACGCCAATTCCGCTATCCTGCCGGCTATCTCCTCGACTCAAAGAGCCCCTTATACAACCGCATCCATGAACTGCGAGAGGACATTGGACGGCTGCTTTCTAAGACGCATGGCTTCCTCAATGCAAATCAAGAAGATGATGTGACTTGTTTCACTGCCCTGTATGCTACATACAGAACTTGGATCACTGATGTGGGAATCGAGCGCTCTGCCCATCCTCTCGAACGGCTGGTGAGGCTCTACAAAGCGGACATATCACCATTCAAGATCAGCGGATTGCGTAAAGTGTACCCCCGGCCGCTGCTCATCAAGCGTGCAGACGCATACCAATTGCAACGGGTCAAGTACAATGCTTCATACCGGCAGAAGAGCGACTTAGACAAACGCCTATTACTTGACTTGGCCGAGTCTTGTGTCTCTTCCTACGCTGATGTTCGTAGGGTTGCACAAGGCGCTCAGGACTCGTCGCTTAAGGTCCTCATTGGTGGCCGCCCATTGGTGATACCAGTCATCTTAGACAGGCTACGCAAAGCTTTGGAAACGAACGATCACGATCGCATCAAGGGAGCCATGTACACTCTTCTTTTCACCACCCTCATCAAGACTCTCATGAAAGACTGGCGCTTTGCCCCGGATATGATGCGCCTGTATATTCAGACTGCAGGTGTAGACAAAACTTCAATCCAGCAGCTTGGTTCAACTGCACTATACCCCCTCTTGGACTTCGGCAAAGCTTTCGAGCGTATGATTATCAAGGATGAAACTATTGTCGATACTATCAAGCCAATTGATGATGTATCTAGGATCATCGGGACGCGGCATGACTTCATCGTTGAGCGCAGAAAGAGAGTCGAAGCCAAGAAAGCTGCTTTGGGGCTTGAACTCGTTGAGAAGGCCAAGGTGGCGCATTGGAAGGTTGCAACCAGGTGTGCCATCTTCGCGACGAATCTCTGCTTGAGGTTTGATACCTTGGCACCGCCTGAGTTCATTGAACTGGTAGCGAACGGCACAAATGATCCCCATCCTGGACTCCGTGCGAATTACCAGTCCGCCTTCTCCAATATTTTCACGGGAATCGATGTGCGTGCTGTGTATGGACACAAGTACCAGAACTACCTTCAAGAGAAAGACACCGACCTCAATACTGTAGAGATCGATGTACCTTCAGATGATCCTAATTGGACAGACAAGTTCTTGACCTCATTTGAGAAGTATGATGGTGCCGAATACTTTGTCGACAGCGACCATCCTGGATGGCTTGTATGGAGTAAAAAATTCAATGCTTCGAGAGCCGATCCAAAGCCATTCCTGGAATATGACGACGTGGAAACCCGCGCTAGGGAACAGATTGGCAAGATTCTGACCAAGGAGTGGTTCGCCAAGTGCTTCGAATATCTCAAGCAGGAACCACGCGATACAGGAGCGGACCGGTTCCGAATGCAGAATGTCGTATTGCTCATGCACGTATTCGACTTGATGAATTATGGTGTGACTACTGTCACCTTTGACGAAATCAAGGACCTGGTTAAGGATGTCTACGGCGATGGCAGTGACAAGCACCAGCATCGAGCTACAGCAGAAATTCTCGGCGCTCTCTTGTCTGGAGGATCAGATGATCCGCTTGAATTCCGTAACAAGACATGGGGATTTGCGGCGCCTATGATGCTCAAGATCATTGCGGACGGCCTCACTCCAGAGAATCAGCAGTATTGGATGACGTGCTTGCACCTGACTATCGGTTCCAAGGACCCTCGGCGGTCCCACGAGTTTATGGAGCAGCTCGGATCGTTCAAGCTTGACATGAACTCTAATGCGGCTTTCAAGGAATCGTCCAAGGTGCAGCTCCTCGAGTTCTTGATTAATGATGCAGGTTGGCATTTCCGAAATGAGAAACCCATCTTGGAGGACTTCCTTACGCATATCGACCATCCTTATAAGTCAGTCCGCGAGGCCATTGGCCGAGTTATTGCTACAATATACCGAACTCGCTACCACGAGTCCTTCCCGGATGTGACGGCACTGCTCGAGAGCAACAAGGCTGAATCGTCAATCGGCATTCGTCCGTATCAGCCAGACGAGGAATTTTCGGCTACCATCAAGGAGGTCTTCACACGCCTTGAAACTTGGCGTCATGAGCGTGCGCCAGGCCAACAAACACCTAGTAGCTACACGAGCGGCTCGAAGACGGTTCTTATGTGGCTGGACTGCATGCTTAGTTCGCAGGAGTGCACCCAACTAGTTCCGTTCTTCCCGGAGCCGTTCATTGACCAGCTCCTGCATATGATGGATGTTAAAGAGGACCCTGAGCTCATGAGGCTTGCATATCACGTCTACCGCCACCTTCCAAACATTCCTTTGCGAAGTGGCGAGGATGAAAAATTCATCAAGTCTCTCATTCGCGTCGGAAAAACAGCTGTCAGCTGGCACCAAAGACTGCGCGCTCTTGTCAACATGCAAGTTGTTTATTTCCGCCGCCTCTTCTTGACCAAGCCTGAGCAACGGGAACTCCTCTTTGGAGCAGTGGGCGATATGCTGGCAGATGCTCAGCTGGAAGTCAGAGATTGTGCTTCAGTGACGTTGGCAGGTATGATTCGCTGCTCGCCGGCTGCAATTAGAAATCCAATCATTGAGAGCTTGATCGCGCGATTCAAGCAACAACTCAACGCCAACCCTATGCCGAAGCGTAAGCTGCCCGGAACGGATACACCCGTGGATGTGCAGAAGCAGGTTGTCAGACGACATGCGGCTGTTCTAGGCCTGGGGGCACTCATCGAAGCGTTCCCATATGCGACTCCGCCTCCATCCTGGATGCCGGATGTGCTGGCTCATCTCGCACGACGGGCAGCCAGCGATCCTGGTGTGGTGGGCAAGGCAACCAAGACAGTCTTGGCGGAGTTCAAGAAGACTAGACAGGATAGTTGGGGAGTGGATCAAAAGGTACGTTCATTACAAAGCAGCTCATCATCATCGGAAACATTGCTGACAATTTATCTTTTACAGTATTTCACCGCAGAACAACTCGAAGATCTTGAAGGAGTTCTTTGGAAGAGCTACTTCGCCTAAAAACCAATGAACCGTTAAGAGTTCAATGACCAAAGATGGCTGTCACTCACTGGAACAGACCATGTTCGGGCAGTAGGAGACTAGAAATCACCGATTATCCTGACCTATTAGGGTTGATGATCGACGGTTGGGAAATAGAATAGGCGAGAGATGCGATGGGCTCTAGTTACCTTCGATTAAGTAAAGAAGGCTCGAGGATGACGAGACAGCAAATTGCATGCATTCTGGTTGCAATTGTTGGAGTTCGCGGCGTTGTAGTATGGAAAGGAGTGCCTCGCATTTTCGGTGCTTGCTCTTCCCAAAGGAGTCGCATGCATTTGCTAGAGTGTAGTCTATGTAGAAGCACTTGTATCAAGAAAACAAGAAATGAGACGGCTTCGATGTTATCATAATTCGATGCCGCTGCTATGACGCCGGACCATGGTGCTAAGCAGACCACCGCCACCGGACCCAGATCCGGTGAAAATTGGGGACCTGTCAGCCGGTTGCATGGAGCTAAGTAAGTGGTCTTCTCGGAGAGGCTCCGTGCCATATCATGCCGTTTATTTGCAAAAGCGTTTACATATCTCGGCCTCGCATGCGAACTTGAGCAATCCGACAGGGCCAATGGCAGACGAACCACCGTAGAGAGAGAACATGGCTTGCATGCCTGAAGGATTCTCGGCTGCTGCGAGCTGAGTCGCCCGCTCCCGCTACACGTTAACTCGACCGGCCAGCCTTCGACAGGTAGTTCCCGCTTGTCAAAAACCTGCTTAACACCGTTGAAACTTTCGCCGACGCCGACGGCGTTTGCTACCGTGTGACAGCCCTTGCGTCATGAGGCTGAATGGATGGTCTACGGTGACGGTGGTATAAGTCTTTAGAATTCCTCCGATAGCTTTGTCTGCGTCTTGACCACAACAACCTCTAGATGGCATCGTGATACTGATTCTGAAGAATACGTCGCCAGTGTCCTGCAGCCATCACGTAAGTAACCTTACCTAAAACCTAGATTGACAGTAAATATGCCCCCTCCACAAGGAACTGCGAATCCGCTGGAGGGACCAGGTTCGTCATGCCACTGCTCTCTGCCGATTTTCTACTGACATATGCGCTCCAAGGCGACTATACTGTTACCAAGACCGTTCACAATGACACCTACCCTGCTATTGATCCTACATCTTTGAAACCTTCACATGAGGGTCGCGCTGTTTTCATATCTGGCGCATCGAGAGGCATTGGATATTCAATCGCAATATCATATGCGCGAGCTGGCGCTTCGTACATTGCCATTGGAGCGAGGTCTGATCTGACAGTCTTGGCCAAGGAGATCGAGACTGCTGCGCAGGAAGCTGGACGACCCAAGCCGAAAGTTCTGTCGCTCAAGCTGGACGTGACCGATAGGGTAAGTGTCGAGGCGGCTGCGGGCGAGATACGCAATGCCTTCGGCCGCCTGGACGTTGTGGTCAGCAACGCAGCGAGCCTAGGCGAGATGCAGCTCATCGCCGACACAGACCCGGACGTGTGGTGGAACACATGGGAGCTCAACGTCAAGGGTCAGTACCTGGTCATGCGCACCTTCATCCCGCTGCTGCTCGACACGGCCGACGGGCTCAAGACGATCTGCACGGTCGCCAGCGTCGGCGCACACCTGCAGACGCCAACGCTGAGCGCGTACCAGCCGTCCAAGCTCGCGAACCTGCGCATCTCCGAGTTTGCGAGCATCGAATACGCCGACAGAGGGCTCATCGCGTATTCAGTCCACCCCGGCAACGTCCCAACGCCGCTCGCGGGCGGGCCGGAGCTGACGAACATCCCGGACCCGGTCAAGGTCGCTTACACGGAGACGGCGGAGCTGCCGGCAGACACGATTGCGTACTTGACCGCCGAGAGGAGGGAGTGGCTCGCAGGGAGGTATGTCAACTGCACGTGGGATATGCTGGAGCTGGAGGCGCAGAGCGAGGCCATTGCGAGCGGTGATGCACTTAAAGTGCGTCTCGTGTTGCCGTAAGGCGGTATCATAACAGGGATCGGGCTTCCAACCGCCCGGTTGTCGGCTGTCTGTCGGATTGTCGTAGCCGTGTCCGTTCACCAGTGTCAGTGAGACGCTGCTCGCAGCATTGCCTTACAGGAAGGGATCTGCAGCAATAGCCTAAGAAGATTGCAATCAATATAGGGGAGAGTTGAAACAGGAGCGAGGTGTGGAATCCGATCGCAATTCAGCTCGCATCTCAATATCATTCTCTACCATCCTTGAGTCACGTCCTCCAAACTTGGCGTCTGCTTCGAACCCAACAAGTTGGACTCATAGCGTCAAGTAGGCTACCGATGCTGGATCAATTTACCCGCGGTCGAGACCAGCCTATTAACAAAAGATTGAGGTGATTTGCTTTCTTTTTTCTTAGATTCCGCACAAGGCCGCTATCAGTACAGCCACCATTCTCGCGCATGCCAAATCATCGGCAATGGACTGCGTGTCAGCTTACCTCTGGCCCGCGCTAATCTCAGCTCATGCGTCGGTTTCGACACTTTTGGACTTTGGCGGCCAGTGCTATGCTAATTTCGGTACGAGGGCTATGGTAGGCGATGCAAGAGGATCCATGCGGGCGGGTTCTCCTTCCTGGCTGTTATCTTTTGTGAGGACTGTAAGATTGTTGTAGGTCTGCTTGCCCAGGTATTGAGGCTTTATTATCTGCACATAGTCCTTTCTTTTCCCTCTGGAGAATGTGTTACCTCGCCGTAAGCCATCGCTCTCTTCCCTGCCCTCAGTGGTGGAATCGCCCGCCATGATTGACATCCTCATCGTTGGCGCAGGGCCTAGTGGCCTTTGCGCTGCAAAGACATTCCTTCAATACGATCCAGGTGCAGAAATCGTGCTTGTCGACGGCTATTCAACGCTTGGCGGTGTGTGGTCTAAACAGCAATTGTATCCGGCGCTGAAAACGAACAATCTCTGGAGCTCGCTCGATTGGACCGACTTCCCCATGGGGGAAGAGTTTGGGATCAAGCCGGGGCAGCACGTCACAGGCGAGGCCATGCATGCATATTTGACTGCCTATGCGGACAAGTTTGACGTGACGCGAAGAATCCGCTTCAACACCAAAGTCGTGGAAGTCAGGAGAAGTGCAGGTGGTGTCACTTGGGACGTTGAGGTCAAGGAAAATGATGGCCGGCCACGAATACTTCAGTGCCAGAAGCTTGTCATTGCTACGGGCATCCTCAGTGTGCCTCACATGCCTAAGCTGAATGGAATAGAGGAATTCGAAGCACCATTTATTCACTCATCCGAATTGGGTCCGAGGTCAGATGTCTTCGAGAACCAAGAGATCCAAAACATTGCAGTTCTTGGCGGAAGCAAGTCGGCTTATGATGCGGTCTATGAGTCGATTAACTCCGGTCACAAGGTCGACTGGATCATTCGCAAGACCGGACGCGGGCCTGTCTGGGTGTTTCCTCCTTTTACCATGCTTGGGCCGTTCAAAGCATGGCGAGAGCGATTGGTAACAAGGAGGTTCTTCAGCTTCATGTCACCCTCAATCTTCCCCGACTTCTCTGGCTTCGGTTGGCTCAAACGCTTCTTACACTTCAACTCGATAGGAAAGACAATCTCACAAAACTTCTGGAAACTCATCAAGCATGATACCATTAATGATTGTGGTTATAAGACTGACAAAAGGTTTGGGATACTGCAACCGGAGCAGAATCCCTTTTGGTACGGCACAGCCTCTGGAACTCTCAGCTATGAGACGGACTTTTTCGACTTCGTTCGCAATGGCCAGGTGCGGATTCACCGACAGGACATCGACCATGTCTCGCCGCATGCTATCAACCTCGCCGATGGGACCGAATTGCCGGTTGACGCCTTGATTGCCGCCACTGGCTTCTCAGCTAAGCCAACCATCTCATTTGCGCCAACAACGTCACACTCTGATTTAGGTCTCCCTACCACCGAGCTCAGCAAGACACAGACGTCATTCTGGGCGGAACAGGACGTTGATGCCGATCTCGCGATCGGCTCTCGCTTTCCTCGGCTCTTGACAGGCCCCTTCATGCAGCCTGGTTCGAGCACCCCCAAGCCGTACCATCCCGGCATGGCTGCGGAGATCACCTACACGCCGTGGAGGCTGTACCGCGGAATCGCCCCGCCGGGCCTCACGGCCGTTGATGACAGATCGCTGGTCTTCATTGGCATGTTTAGCAACCTTGCCAACACGATCCGGCTGGAGATCCAATGCCTGTGGGCTCTAGCCTACATGAACGGCAAACTACCAAACCTGTCCCACGACATTGCGGAGGGGCGCGTGTTCGCGGAGACGGCACTGCTGCAGCGCTTCACTCAGCACCGCGCGCCATATGGACATGGCAGGTTCTATCCTGATCTTGTGTTTGATCAGCTGCCGTATTGGGACCAGCTTCTGAACGACTTGGGGCTGGAGACAAGGCGGAAGGGCGGGCTGCGGGAGCTGTTTGAGCCATATACACAGGCGGACTATCGAGGGTTTGTAGATGATTGGGTGCGCGCCAATAGGCAATAACTGATATGGGTTCGCGCATGCATACTGTAGATATAAGCGTTGTCGCACTGATAGCCTATTCGAGATGACAGCTGGCCTAAGAGATGACCTAATCTTGAGGATGAATCATCCATTGTGTACCATTGTATACCGGTAAGCAACTCTTGCACTCCAAGGCGTTCGCTTAACTTGAAGTATATTGGGTAGACACCGGCCGACTGGGTCAAACTGATGCCTAGAAAGAAGTAGACAGCTAGAAGCCTACCAAGCAAGCTTAGATTATGTTGCAATTCGGATTCTGGCATGTGGGACAACTCGGATATTGGACCGGCGGAGCCGCTGACATCTCTTGTCCTCCTTGGAAGGCTATACAGCACACTCCAAATGGGTTGACTCTGTCGTGTGCAACCTTTGTGAGCGGACTTGCTACGCTCCCCTCTAGGCTTCGCCCAACAACTTCAAGATCTGCGAGTATCAGGTCATTCTGAAAAAGATTGATCGGGTACATCCCCAACAGTGAGTTTCTTGTGGCTGCAAGGCGATGCTAATGGTGTTGTCAAGGATGTGAGGAATCCCAAAATATCCTCGGTCTCAGCTACCACATTCACCTTGAGCCCAAGTGCTAGCCCTATCCGTGCGGAAGTTTAGCTTGATCATGACCTTGGCAAACTCATCGATGGCGTCCGACGTGGGCTGGACACATAATCGGTCTGTATCCCAGATGTGCAGGAATCCCGTGTCTGACTCGGCACACGCTTTCGTCCATGCGAGGGCGGAGTTGGCTTCCCACACGCTCTTGCTCATAGTAAAGATGAGTCCGCCAGGGCACGCGGCTCCGCGATCGCGTAACGTCAGATAGATCGTCTCAACGGCACGGGCTGTCACCCAAGCTCGCCGCACGCTTTCTGTCACCACCCATGTGTGCCAGAGCGCCGTCTCCTTTTCTGCCTCACCGAGATGCTGCCATGCTGCCTGCAGTTCATGCTGCGGCGGGATCGACCGGGCAGCAGCGTCAGTCCCGAGGAACGCCAAGGCATTGACCATTTCCGAGTAGAGAAGCTGGCCATTGCTAGCGGCACGGGCGGTGGCCTTCAGCATATCCTGACTCCAAGAGACTAGGAGCTGAAGATTCACTTCAGCGACGCGGCGCAGACGTATGTCGCCATGAAAGAGGCAGATGATGCTGTAGCCCATCAGCGCGTGCACACGGCTCAAGTGACCGAGAACATCGGACGGCTCAAGCGTTTCAGTTGCCACGAGATTTGTGATGCGGTCTTCGACAATGCGGAAGACCATCGGCTCCGTCTCAGGAGCCCGGTGGAAGTAGCTCGTCAGTGCAGTGAAGACGTCACCAACAGGGGCTGGGACGCGTGATGCATAGAGCTCGCTGTGTATGAAGGCATTGCTTCCGCTCCTCGACCAATCCGCAAGCCAGGACTGCAAGGTAGCCACGAACTCATCGAAGAGGGTGAAGCGGATGGGCCGATTAGGTATTGTATTGAGCCTCACCACCTTCCAAGTCTCTGGTGCTAGGAACCAAGCGGATTGAGCATCCGCGAGTGAGGGAGAAGCGCCGCTGCAACTGACATCGGCATTGGGGGGAAACGCCCATGTGGAGGTTGTGCTTGCAGGCGAGGGGACTGCTCTCACAGCGGGGTCAATCCCAACGCCTCGACTCCTAGCCGGAGGCTCCTCAGGAAGAGATGAAGCATTTTCATTAGATGTAGTGGAAAGGGCTGGAGATTGATAATCACTCGGCCCGGCAGGTCGGACAGATCGTCGACTCTGGCTGTGGGCTGGCGGGTAGCTGCAATTGAGCTTTTGTCGGATGCACCGTTCGCAGGCGGGCAATTGCTTGCCGCATCTTCGTTTAGCCCTTGCGCATGCTCCACACGCCTTCACGTTGACAGATATCATTATCAGCGTAGACCGCTGATCCAACCTGTCAAGAGACACTTGTCAAAGAGAAATCTCAAAAGGTGTGCTCTGTGGGCAGACTTGTGGTGCGCAATGTGGTTTGATTGAAAATCGCGGAATCTGCGGGCCAAAGTACCTGACGAAATGCCCGCCTAATAGTAGATCGAGCATGTCAGTACTGATGAGTTTCCGCCTTACTACTAGACTTTTCTCACCAGTTGATTGCCCAGTCTGTTAGTGCTGGTGTGGCCCGTCGGGAAGACGGCGCTGACAAAATGAGAAGATGCTCCGCTGCGGAGTGTAACCGGAAGCGTACAAGCTCAAAAACATCACTTACACACCGAAGTCCCGTACACGAGTCAATGTATCAAAAAATGGCGTGCAAAGTCGAGGAGGATGTCAAGCCTATCCTATCTTAATGGTCTATCAAACATGCGGAGAATGATGCAGTCTCAAGGGATGGTCTGTCGACTCAAGTTTTGTAGCACTCCAGTCCGTCCAAAGATAATATTAGGACCCGTATTCCTTGTCTCTCACCCGATGACTCCGTGTCTATACAACCGTTATAGCAGCATGAACTGCGAGCGACCAGTAGTCTTCAACCTCGAAACCAACTATTTGGATAGTTCCTTGATGTGTTCAATCAAACCAATTTCTTGGATTTCCCATCCAAGTACTTTCTTGGCCTTCTCGCTAGATGCGCGGCAGGGCTGGTTGAGATAGTCGGACCACATAGGGCCGATTGAGGCGAGAGCCTCCTCGGCCGTAAGATCCTTGACTGGTACACCAGCAGAGGTTGCGATCGCACCCATGAACTCCGCAAACGTAATGTCAGTCTCGGCCGTGGCGTTGTACGACTCGCCTGCCTTAGTCTTCTCAGCAGCCAGGATGAAGAGGCGACCCACATCGTCGACGTGGACAGTTGAAGTTTTCACCTTGCCTCCATCAATAACAAGTGCAGCACCCTGAGACTTCGCCATGCCTATCAAAAGTTCGATCAAATTGCCTTCGCCATGAACGAAAGGGGCAATGCGGATAGTGGCGACTCTCACGCCTTTCTGAGCCCAAGCTAGCACAGGAGTCTCGAGAAGACGACGATCAAAGAATGAGTTCTCATCCAAAGGATCATCCTCAGTGGTCAAGCCTCCGTTAGGGTCCGCACGAACGATGCGAGCACCAGAAGCCACAATAAGGGGCTTGTCAGTACCCACCAAGGCGCCGGCAAGTGCACCGATGGCTGCCGTGGTGATCTTGACGGCATCGTCATGTGGGATGGTGAACTTGCTGCCCATGAAAGCATCTCCAAGACTGCAGACGATGTCGGCGTTTGCAGCTTCTTTGGCGAGCAGGTCGTGTGAGGTCAACTCGCCGCGCACAGGCACACCACCGAGCTTTCGGATCTTTTCATCACTCTCCTCGCTACGAGAGAGGCCGCGGACCTTATAGCCTTTGGCTATGGCAGCTTTGGTTACGGCAGAACCGATGAAGCCACTGGCACCAGTAATGAAAGCAGTCTTTCCAGACATTTTGAGACTGAAATATATTGTGATTGGAAGAAGATTGAGAAAACGTCGATGTCAAAGATTAATTGAAAAACGTGTAGGCAGTAGATGGTGTTTCATTAAATTCATTTTCAAATTATTGATTCGAGAACATCTTTATATATAAAATGCTGTGTCTCATCGAGCCATCCCAATGATCATATCATAGCATCGAAATGACCTGCGGAAGCTTAGTCAATGTGCGGACGAGTTATTTAGATTTGTAAATGCGGAAACCGCATGCCGCACTCCGCACTCCGCAAGGGATTCTAATCCGCGCTATCTGTCATCCTCCCATCCCGCCATCCGGAGCCATTTGAAGATATGCTTCTCAGAAGTGATAAATGCTACTTCCTCAAGGGCAAAGAAAATTAATTGACAAGAGTCGTGACTACATCTTCATCAACATTTAACGGAAGTACAGTCGTAGCTCCTCCGATAAGGAGGTTCTGGACTTACAATTGTTATCCTGGTAAATTGCTGCAGTAAAGTTACAATACGATGGTAAATCCGCTATTTGATGTGTGCTGATATGAACTTTTTGAGGGCAGTATGATAGTAACAAAATCGACCATCTCATCGCGTGAACTAGGCAATGTTCTCTGGAGGTCTTTGAGAAAGTATTTAGCGCTGATCCTGGCCAGGCGCAATGATTTGACCGCACACAGGCCTCGTAAGGCTGACGCACCGCCCCCAAACGGGTGATCCGCCTGCGCAACCCTACAGCATTCACCAACGATGGCCCCAACTCTGGATCTGGCCCAAGCCTGGACTAGTGAGATTATGGCTTTTGGTGATACAAGCTAGGGACGACCGCACTGCTCACGCCGTCGGATCTGTTGTACAGGAATGCCTGATAGTGATACTTACAAGACTCCGCTCCGTGGAGATCCGGTTGAGACACAGGCCGGCCCCCAAGTTTTGACATGCAAGTCATAGGCTATATTCAGAAACGATACGTTCAGCGCTGGGATTTTGCTGGTCTTTTAGTTTTGACCGAGACTAACTGACAAGTCTTAGTAAGGACTTCGTATTGGGGGGATACAACACAGTCCAATTGGTGACATTACATAACGACTTGCTGCAAATGATACGAGTATACTGTTGTAAATTAACAAGAAAGTGCCTCATTCAGAGACTGGTCATATTTGCTTCGCCTTTTGAGTGATAGTGTATGTGGAATCTGAAACAGCTACCTTTGAGGCATGAGACAGTGTCAGCAACATGGACGTTGCGAGTATTATAGGCTTTGTCTGATGTCGCTGTTTCCCAGCTATAAATTGCTCTCGGAGAAGCAAAATCGTGTTTATTATATCATATGCTCTTGGAAAGATCAAGGTCAACTCAACGACTAGAACCTTAGAATGATCTTAACTTCATATCTGAGCCAATACTTAGAGCTTTTATTCTTGTAGTAACATTTCAAGTTGCAATGGTGTCTCACAATATACCCAAGCTGGTCATGTGGAGAGACTTGACGCCTTATCCCCAGAGACTCATCCAAGCTACTTCGAACGCTCCACGGATTCTCATTGTTGGGGGTGGGGTGACGGGACTTATTACCGCCTGGGTTCTGTTAGACCGTGGATACAAAGTTTGAATGAGGTTCCTTGATCTACATAAACTGATAATATAGTACTCACATCAGCACTAGGTCACTATCATCTCGAAAGAATGGGCCAACTTTAGTCCCCAGGGTCGACTCACCGCTCAAATTGCAGGTGCTTTGTGGGAGTATCCGCCTGCCGTATGCGGCTCTCATACCGACCGCATCTCTCTTTCCAACTCTAAGCGTTGGTGCATGACCGCCTATCATGCGTGGGATGCTATCGCTTCTGTGCCCGAGCTGAGCACGGTCTCTGGTGTTCGAATGATGCCGTCGGACTTTTTCTTCCCCTGTCCAGTAGGAGAGGATCCCGGACAATTCTCGAAAATGGTTGAGATCATGTCCAGTGGCGTTAGAGGCTTCCGACATAACGCCAAACTTGTTGAGCAGCGACACGTGAGCCCAAGCTATGGTGCAGTGGATGCATACGAACTTCTAGCTCCGATCATTGATACCGATCAGAGCATGATGTGGCTCATGACACTTGTTCTTGGTAAGGGTGCATCAACTGTTACGGAGACCGTTCAAGGAGACTTGCTAGATCTCGAGGGAAGCTTACGCCACCGTTTTGGCGCGGACGTTATAGTCAATGCCACAGGACTTGCAGGAACCGAACTTGCTGGCGATGCATCCTGCTATCCCATTCGAGGTGGACTGATCCGCGTTATGAATGATGGCAAAGACTTTCCCAGAGTTGAAGCAGCCTTGACTATCACGGCTGATGCCGTCCACGATTCAAATGAGATTGTGTTTTTGGTTCCACGCAATGACAATATCCTCCTTATCGGCGGAATCGCAGAGCCGAACGAGACAACACTCGATTTGACCTTGGAATCACCTATCATCAAGCGTATGCGGCAACGTTGCGAAGCATTTCTTCCCTGCTTGAAGAATGCACGCGTTGATCCTACGTATCCCCTGGCTCAGGGATTGCGGCCCTTCCGGGCGAGAAATGTCCGTGTCGAAAGAGAGCTACGACGTCTCCCCGGCGAGAATCAGCCAAGCCGGATTGTTCATTCTTATGGTCAAGGTGGTGCAGGATGGAGCTTATCATTTGGCTGTGCTTCTGACGTGGTTGACTTAGTCGAGGAGGCTCTACGTGACGTGGAGCCGATGCCTATGGATTATGACCCTTTCTCTCTGGACGCCTCGGAATTGCCAAAGAGCTCTCACTTATATCTTTGTGCAAGCCTATAGCTACTATATTCGGTATTAAAGCCTGGTCCTCGAATTTCGCCCTTCTCCTATAACTTAGATTAGAATTCCGCTACTGCTTTTCATCTCAACATTTCTCAACTTATACCACAGCGCTTAAACGGTTCGTGCAAACAAATCTTACACCTGTGTCGATGGGGATGATCAGAGGCTCTGCGATGCATGTCACATCTTGAAAGATCCGCCGCTAATTTCGTAAACCATGGTTTCGCCCTCGTGGATTATCGGATGACTTACTTGCTATACCCTACCTTATCCTCACTAGCTTTCCTTGGCTCTCACTTCTGATAGAATGAGATAATTACTTCTTGAATTTTATTCTTCTAAGTTCTGAGCCGAGACTCACGAAAGAAGTTTTCAATGAAGACTGCCCTCGTTTATACAGGCTTGGCATGAGTAGTCTATCGGTTTCATCTGATCCGAGAACCCTACAGTTTGGAAGGAAAACGCAAGCTCTACAGAGGAGGCAAGATCTCATCTAATAACTTTGAGGGACAAAAGACTCTCTGGAGTACGAGAAGGCAGTGAAAACAGAGATTGCGCAATGAACTTTGGAAATCTAGGGTTTCATCTAACTTTCACGGTACTGTGGCGTTCGTGAATTTTACAATCACTGGGGAAGCGATGTGCAACTCAAAACCAAACCTAGCGACTCTTTGCATAATTGGCTAGAAAAGTAAGGTTTTGTCAGGAAACTTCCATACTATTCTATAATTGGAATGAGTATCTGCACTGTGTTGATCCATTTGCAATTCAATTTTAGACGTAAGCATAGCTGAATTGATATAATGAAGTCTTCCACATCTGAAAAAGACTGAGAGGATTTAAGGCTTGTTGTAGGAAAAACGGAGGCCCCGATGGCCGTCTTCAATACGGAATCTAAGAACAGCATACAAAGTAGACATGAGTGAGCGTAGGCCATATATCTAGCCACAAAGATAATCCACAGCAACTAGACCGATTGGCAACCAGAGGTACGTACGTATGGAGCGTTTAGCAGCAGATTTCCTGTTACTGGGAATCAGTTCGATGTCAAAATGCCTAGAGTTTACTCACAGAAGACAGCCAGCAAAGAGCGTCTCTCAGCATGCGACGTACAGCATCCTTGGCATCCAATTCGAGGCTCTCCAAGTGAAGCCGTGGCAGGTAGAAGATAGCAGGCTCGACCTTCTTGCAGTAGGGTACGTAGTACCAAAGGCCGATGAGGAGGGTCCAGAAGACGATATGGTAGACCAAGGGAGCTCGGCAGATCTGCCGTCGACGGCGGATGCGACGGTGGGTTGTGTTGTCAACGCGCACCGAGGATAAGTTGCTGACTCTTCTCGGTACTTCCTTGAAATGGACCGGCATGGCTGGATTGTAGACCTGGCTTGACCCAGCTCTGCTCCCACCGAAGCGGACAGCTTGGGAGGGGTTGTAGGTGCGATCCATCGTAATTGATGTTTCTGTTTGCTGTGGTTTCTGTGTCAGAGTGTCGTTACTTACCTTGAACGACAAGGTTCAGATGCCAGTTCAGAGCCTCGATAGCTGTGTGATCAAAAACAGCATGCGGCAGAGCGTGGTATTACATGGAAATTAATAGTTGTAGCTCCTTTGTTCTAGGCGTTGTAATGAATAGAATTGTCCGATTACAGTGCTTGGAAATTCCTTTATCAATATAAAACGGTAGAAAGATCATACTAGGAGAAAGACAAAGACGATTGCCGTTGTGTTGATCATTGTGTCTTCGGTGAAGTGCTTTGTGATGATGAAGTGCTGATGCTTTGTTCGAAAGCTACCTCCACAATGGTGGACTCACTTCACCATGGTGCAACTTGAACGGGCGGAGTGTCTTCTTGCTAAGAGTACCCGATGCAAGGACAGGCATCAATCAATCAATCAATCAACTGCACTATGTTGTGTCTCATAAAATGGCAGATGAAGCTTGTCATTGAAGTCCCCGCGCTCAGGGTGCCTTGTGGATAGCAACTAAGCCAGCGCTAGCCAAGACACCCCACCATGTCTGCCTCGTCTCGCCGATGATGCACAAGCAGAAATAGAACCTCGAAAAACAAGAGACATTGTCATTGAAAGGACACTCCAGCAGTAAAGCTTGCCCGTCAAAGCTGGGAGCCTGATCGACTGCCACTCAACGGAGAGAAGCTGTCTCAACTCACCTGAAGCTCGACTGAGGACAATTCAGGCTTCGTCACGTAACTTCGGAGTGTTAGGTAACAGCGATATGGTACAGTACAGCGGGGCACTCAGGCATATCAGATGGTGACATTGCATGGTCTCGATCACGGCTAGGATCTGAATTAGGATGTCAGGCACAGTTTTCACCCTCTCAACAACGAAGCTTCCGTTGCGGGACTTGCCTCCAGGCTCATTTTTACTCCATGCCACCAACTGCATAGCAATGTGGGGGGCGGGCATCGCAGCCGAGTTGGCGACCATTTTCCCAGCAGCATGTGAAGTCTACAAGACGTTCTGCAACGACGCCAAAGCAGATGAGTCGGAGCGGTGGCCGCCCCGATCTCTCGCCGGGCAGTGCCTGATCATCCCGCCGCAAGAGTCGGACGTGGCCGCCGGCGCACCGCGGGTGTCCATTGTGTGCGTCTTCACGAGCTACGGATATGGGCGAGCGAATCCGGCGAAGGGCAAGCCAGGGAAAGACACGGCGGCGACTATATTGCGCCAGACAAGGACGTCGCTGGCTGAACTACGGCGACAACTTGACGAGTTGAAGGGCAAGCAACGAAGCAAGGAGGAGCCGATGATCATATACTCTCCGCGCTTCAACTCGGGTGCCTTCAAAGTGCCCTGGACGCAGACTGAGGCCGTCATCAAAGAGAAGTTTGAGGGTTGGCAGGGCAAGTGGATCGTCTTGGAACCTCCATCATGAGGTAGGTGATGGAGAGACTCGATCAGTAGTCCAGACCTGGAATAGGGCTGTTATTTGGCGCTTTGATCATAGGACTTTCGCGGAGTGACGTCAAAGAGAGCATTCATGCCGTTGATGGCGTCGTGGGAAATTTGTTGATACGTCCTGGGGCGGCGCAATTGTGGTGGCTTGTTCTAGAGCGCGCTCGTGGAGAACCATGGCGCAGGGCCAGCCTTGTCGCACAATAACACAAGCGAAAACGCTGGACTTTGGGCTGATAGACTGCCATATGTTCAATGAGGATGTAGAAGTCGTAACCTAAAGACTTAAAATATATATATAAGAGGATCTTGTATAAGAAGATCTTTCGCATTGGTAGTTGGACGAGAGAAGTTGAAGATGTGACCCAACCACTCGTAAAGTGTAATTGAGGGTGTGAGGTCTCGTGAAAGTGTTCGGACCTCAACCTTGGAACCAGGTTAGCGCTGTGACGTGACGCCTTGACATCTTTGCAGCAGACTAACGTTAGCTACTGCTGTGCATGACTGTTACGAGGATATGCTGCAGCTTGAATAGCAGGATCGTATGCGAGAGACTGGGGCAACATCCGAGCAAGCGAGAAGCGCGGAGAGCGGAGAGCGGCACCTTGATCAAACGAGGCATTCCCTCAAATGCCGGCAGTGATCCGCGCAGGCTTCCAGCATCGCGACTCTGAGGAGTCCGTGTCTGGCGATTGATTCGCCAGCCAGGAATCCTGAGGCCTTAGGTCCAGCGCTTCTCGTGCCGGTCAGGCTGCATTTCGGAGCAGCAATTCAGGGCGAACACCGTTACCTTAGGGTAGGACTTGTTTTGTGAGGCCAATCATCCACTCGGTCGGTCGGTCGCTGGCCTTTGCATGAGCCACCGCCACTGCCGTCTTTCTTTTGCTGCTTGGAGCTGACTTGACTGCCTGAAAATGAGTCCTATCTGGCCGCCCAGAGCGCCCGACTTGCTCATCCGGCCAGCACAAGGCTGCTGCGTTCGAGCTCTTTTATTTCTCATTGTTTCCCCGTGTTCTCGAAGAAATTTCGCGAAATAAGACAGTGCTATTTCCACTCGTCTTTTATATTATCGCTATCGGCGGCAGTTTGCAGCTGAGATCGTCTTACATCCCGCTCACTTTCTAACCCTCGCCAGACATTCCGTGTCAACACCCATCTTCTTGTGCTGACTGCTCCGGGCATCGCCCAGCCTTCCCTCACATAGTTACATTTTCCAAGAAGTGATTTGACTTTCAAGGAGGAGGAGTCATGTTGTCACGCGACGATATCTCAGATATCACTTGGAAATGGCGCTGCAAGCTGTCCAACATCGGAGTAAAGACGGAGAAGACTCTCGCCGACTACTCCTCGGATGACACCTCGCTGAAGGGCAAGGTGAGAGATGCTGTTCTCGCAGATGAGAAGGCCAACCCATCGAAGGATCCCGGATTTGGGTCCACCCCGTCCGTCAAGACCTTCTTCGAGGGCCGTGACAGCAATGATAACTGCATCGACTGGGTCGACTACCCGCCCAAGCAGATGTCCAAGTCTGCCGCCAGGGCTCAGGACAGGGTCGCCATCAAGGTGTACAAGGTCAAGGACAAGGAGAAACCTGTCATGTCGGGCAGGTTTGCGCTCAAGTATCACATGATCGAGGTCCAGAATCCACTCCTTGTCGCTGCGCTGGATGAGATCCTCAAGAAGGAGGATGTCCATCTCGATGTCAACGAGACGGCTTCATTCGAGGAACCATTCCGGCCGCTCTTCTTCTGTTACGATGAGATCGTGGCCAAGTACAAGTCCCTGGATGAGGACAACCCGCTGCGTCAATACATTCTGCTCCTGACCAAGGTCCTCGACGAGATCTTCAGTGAGACCCGCGCCAAGTTATACCATCTCAGGGCTTCCGGCTTGGTGTCTTTCAAACTTGCATGGACATACTTCCCCAAAGGCTCTGTAGTTCTCTCATGGGGCAACAATTGTGAGCTTCTGTGCAAGGTTGTCGACACCATCTACAAGAAGATAAACCCAATCGAGACGGTCATGGTCGTTCGCGGGAAAGTGATGCGCTTCAACGGCGAAGCGTTCCAGTGGGAGGACTACGAGCTAGAGCTGCCGGCGTTCAGTGGCAACAAGCCCGTGACGGACCTGCCTCACTATCCCCTCGAGTTTCACCAAGAGGCGGATCAAGTAAGGGCTAGACTAGCTGAGCGAGGGCGCAAGGTCTTGGATCATCAGGGTCTGAGCTACTGCACATACACCGGTATTGGCATCTACCAGGAGGGAAAGAAGCTAGAGAAGCACAATGTGAGAAAGGTGACGAGCCACTATATGACGGCCGACTGACTGATCTACAGGTTGATGGCCGCATTCTGATTGATGTTGTGGGCTACAACAAGCACCACCTTGCACAAGGAACACGGGAAGGCAAAGACCCAGAGACCATGAAGAAGACAGTCAGAGGCACTGGCCGCAAGCAAGGCGCTCTCACCGCAGTTGCCAGCAACGCCGTGTCCGGCAAGCGCCTGGGTGAAGAGGAGCAACAGAAGAACAGAGATGCTCTGCTTGCCAAAGTGGACGACCTCATGTTCATGTCGCCGTTGCTTGAGGGGTACGCACTCAAGAACAAGCTCTGGGGTTAGTCGTCGAACTCTCTCGAGCCATTACGTGATATAGAACTGATGTGATGTTATAGTGTCTTTCTATGTAGAAGATATTCGGCCGATGGTTTGGAACGACAGAGCCTACGATCACTTGGTATATGATGAGCAGCAGAAGGATCTAGTGCTGTCCTTTGTAGAAAGCTATGGTCACGCGAAGCCGCAAATGGAGGACGTGATCGTTGGCAAAGGTAAACAGCCAAGCTTCATTTACACAAAATTAATTTACTAACAGTGCATGCATAGGTCAGGGCCTCATCATCCTTCTCAGCGGCCCGCCCGGCACAGGCAAGACCTTGACGGCTGAGGCTGTGGCGGACCGAACACACCGCCCACTCTTCTATCTCCAGGCTGAAGATCTGGGAATCAACGCGGCGACGCTGGGAGCTAACATCAAGAAAGTCTTTGAGATGGCTACAGAATGGGACGCGGTCATTCTCCTCGACGAGGCAGACGTCTTCATGGCTGAACGACACCCCCACGACATCGCACGCAACGAGCTGGTCTCGATCTTCTTGAGAGAGCTAGAGTACTACCGGGGCATCATCTTCCTCACGACAAATCTGTACAGCACGATAGACTCGGCCTTCCGCAGCAGAGTCAGTCTCCACCTGCTTTTCAAGCCGCTCACAGCCGAGGCGAGGGGCGTGGTGTGGCGCAAGTTCTTGGACCGGTTGCCTGCCAGCGAGCCGAAGCCGAAGGCTTTGACAAACGGCACTGATAGTGAGGGAGAGGCCGCGGAGAAGGCCGAGAAGAAGAACGAAGAGCTCACGGACGAAGATCTGAAGGAGCTTTCGGCATGGCAACTCAACGGGCGAGAGATCAAGAACGCTGTGAAGATGGTCAAGTCGTGGTGTGACCACAAGGGCTATGAGATGACGCTATCACGGCTAGAGAACGGTATCAAGGTGACGAGTCCGCACGCATCCAAGTATTCTCATGAGAATGACGATGCTATATATGAGTCGTAGGGATACTATGGTTTTGCAGCTGTGACGGACCGTAGAGC